AGCTTGCCATGATTCAGGAGCTAGTAAGTGGTGAAGGCAGTATTGTAAGGCAGGACTTCCTGTCTCCCCAGGTACCTTATTCTTTATCTCGTAGCATGTCATTTTTCTCCAGTATTGTCGTGATGTGTCATCAGGTGACTGTACTTTTTATCCATACTTCATAATTTTATGTTTTAGGAAACGTACACTATAGACATTTAAAATGTAAATTTTTATAACATAGTATGCTTCCGAATAACCTGAGAAGAGTGTTACACAAAAGGAAATGGCTGACTGATTCCATGGAGTAATAAATACCTACCTGTTTGTCATTTTGAAGTTAAAGCCATTGCTTCTAATTTTAAACCAATATTTTTTTTGTCTTATCTTTCTCACCTTCATAACATGTATTTTGCCTTATACAGCTGTGAAAATTTATTATACAAATTGGTTTGAGCATATGTAACCTATGAACACTTGTATTCTCACTTAGCATAGAGTTTTGTATTTCCTGGGTAGCATAGACCCATAAAGTTTTGGATACTCCTTGTATCTTAATAGAATGATGAAAATGATTCATTAAGCCTTTCTTTGATGAAAGACAGAAACCACAGAGCAATGAAGGTATTGGCATTTCTGATAAAGTTTATATATTAAAGTCTTATGGTAGCCTATAATAAAGAGCTTGTTTGGAAAAATTGAGAGATTCAACTTTTGTATTATACTTAAGTTTTGTTAGTCCATCAGATTCCTCCCTTCTTATGTCTTATTCATCACAAATTTATTTTTTCCCTTAAAAAGTAGATCAAATATAGATAGCCAGGAAAGAATGAAAGATCAGTTATAGTAATATAGTGAGGATATTTCATGCATACTTAAATATTATACAAGTGTCAGTTTTTATTATTATTTTAGAAGAACTTTATGAACACTAATACCAAAAATTGCCTTAAATTGTTATCTATTAAATAAATGTATGGCTGGCTGACTGAATGAATGCATACATTCAGAACTCTGGACTCCAAAGTCTTTTAGAGCATCCCTTTGAGTGCAAACTGCTCTTCCTTGGTTTTGGAAATGTTAAATTAAAAGATAGCCTAATATTGGTATTGTTACTTTCTGTAATTGTCAAAAAGAAGTTATAGTTTCCTCCTGAATACAAATAAGAAGATAAAGAAAAAAATAATTGAGTTAAATTATTAATTTTTATTTATGTGTTCCTCAGATCCTTGAGATTAAAATTCAAGCAGGGATGCAGTATTTTTTTGAGTTAGTATTAGAGTCTATGACATTAGCATTCTCTATCTCAAGCAGAAATGCTGCTGAAATGGTTCTTGATTTAAGGATGTGATTTCTTTTATAGTCAGTATTATTTAACATACCATATTTAAGTCTTGTAAAATGTAACTGCTTCCTTTTCATATATCAGTTTCACTTCCATCAGAGAGAATAGTGATATGGAATTATTTTGTTTGAATGGTTGGCTAAAAGTACAAAGTGTAGAAAGTAGAAACTTAAATACAGACCAATGATTTTTTTTTTCTATATCTGATTCCGAACCATTAACAATTTTTTTTTCTGTTTCCAGACCATAAAAGCTTCTTCCAAAAGTATCCACAGGCACAGAAGCTCTGTTTAAATTTTTCCTATGTGCTTCCTTTTGGTGATATTTTCATTTTTTTCCAAAATGAGTTTGCTGTTTACTTTTGATGAAGTAAATATCTATATATAATCTGAAGGGTTTTTTTTTTTTTTTTTGAGATGGAGTATCACTCTGTCACCCAGGCTGGAGTGCAGTAGCGTAATCTCTGCTCACTGCAGCCTCTGCCTCCTGGGTTCAAACAATTCTCCTGCCTTGGCCTCCTGAGTAGCTGGGATTACAGGTGCATGCCACTATGCCCAGCTGATTTTTGTAGTTTTAGTAGAGACAGGGTTTCATCATGTTGGTCAGGCTGGTCTTGAACTCCTGACCTCATGGTCTGCCCGCCTTGGCCTCCCAAAGTGCCAGGATTACAGGTGTGAGCCACTGAGCCCGGCCTTAAAATCTGAAGATTTTTATTGCTTGGATTTGGAGGGTAGTTTGAACATTAGATTTTAAAAGCTTATACTTAAGATGGCCATTAGTAGTTAAATCTGGCTAATAACTAATCTACTGTAAATTTAGTTAATAGAGGTTGGTGGGGAGTCATTCATATATTTATATTTCCTGTTTCATATGTTTATAAATATTAATGAGCATCATTGCCTTTTCTTCTCCAATGTATTTGGATTCAAGTAATTAAGAGTCTGTATAAATACTTATTTTTCTGTGTGTGCATTTTGTGTTTATTTCCATTGGTTTTGAGTTTGACTTAATATATACATGTGCATTTAAAAAGGTGATCTTTCCAAAAGCTTTGCTTGGAGTCTTTGCTAGGAGGATGAATTGGATGGAGAGGGTTGCTTGCTTTACTGTTTATTTTCCCAGAAAAAAAAAAGGAGATGGGAGAAAAATAACAAAAACAAATCCAGTATTTTGGCCTGGAACTGAATCATATTATCTGTACTGTCAGTTAGAGCTTTTGCTCACTTTCCCAGACAATCTTTACAGGGATTAAAGCTTCTTCCTGAATTAGTGATAGCTTTTAGTATGCTGCAGCCTCATATCCAGTTAATATATATAAAATCTGGCTGTACATAATTGCAAAATCCTTACCAGTTTAACCTTTAGTAATAGTGATTGCGCTGATAAACAAGAGTGTCAATAATTAAAGGATTACATATCACTTAGATTTTATTTTCTGTTTTCATATGTAGATCCTCGTGTTCCTTCCCCCAGGTTAGGCCTGATTTTGTTATGGGATCTTTGGGATGTTGCTTTTCTGACCGGCAGCCTCTGTGGCTAGTGGTCCCTTTGCCCGAGTTCTTGTCCTGCATCTTGAAAAAATGAGATATGCAGACAAGTGGAGGGTGAACAAGATGAAGAGAAACTTTGAGTTTTAGAACAGCTCAGAGGAGACCTGCCGGGGGTAGCTCCTTTCTGTAGGCAGGTCATCCTTTCAAGTGTTCAGCTTTCAGCAGAGAGGAGGCCTGGAGGGGGTGGCTCCTCTCTGCAGGCAGGTCATCCCATTGAGTGTTCAGCTCTCATTAGTGAGGAAGTCTGGAGTGGGTGGCTCCTCTCTGCAGGCAGGTTGTCCTGACAAGTGTTCAGTTCTTAGCAGAGAGGGTAGCTTCTCTCTGATGCTGGTCATCCTGTTTGCAGCTCTCAGCAGAAAGCAAGCCCCAGAGAGGGCAGACTCCTCTCTGATGCTGATTATCCTACCCTCAGCAGCGAGGGTAGCTTCTCTCTGCAGCCAGTCCTCCCATTGGCTCTCTACTTTTATGAGTTTCAGAGGGGAGGAAGTATAGGCCTGGGGAAAAGGCACTGCAAGTACACTCTGGTCCGCAGGGCTGGCAGCCTGGCCCCCAGCCTTCAGGTCCTCCCTGGTCTGAAGGTGGGGGCTCACCAGTAACCTGCCCTTTCCAGCCCAGGAAACTGTCTGCCTCCCATTACCCCCCATCACACCCAGGCTGCTCACACCCATGCCAAGGAACATCCATGGGCCAGCCCAGAGCTACCCTCAGCCCCATCATGACTTCCCTAACCCTAACCTTCTCCCACTTGGCACCCAAAGTCTGGGAAGGCAAAGGTGGCAGGGAGCCGCAACAACCCTGGGACTGGGGAGAGGCCAGGCAGTAGGAGCAGGCACCCCTGAGCCTGCTGGTGAAGGGCACCCTCCTGGGTCCTTGAGAGCACCAGGAGGCCCAGGCCCACAGTCACAACCCAGGTGGCTGCAGCCACTCCTGGGGGAACTCTTGCTCTGCCAACTTGAAAGGGACAGAGTTCCCACCAGTCCCTGGTTTGGCAGAGTGTGTAGCCTTGACTGTGCCCCTTCTCTGCATCTCCCACAGTGGTGACAGGTGAGATTTAGGTGGCACAGCACAAATAAACCAGATGATCCTGGGGCCAGTCCCATGAATCCCAGTGGTTACACCTTTGGCCAGGTGCTTGTGGGCCATTAGGACATGGCAGGGAGCTAGGTTGAAGCTGCAGTGGAGGCTCCAAGTTCTTCCTGCCTGACTGTGTGAGGGTGGGGTGGCACAGTTGGCCATGGGGACATGGGACACAGGAGACTGTTGCCACTGCTGCTCTCACAGCTGCTCCTGCTGTCCTATCTGCCCCCTTGCACCCTGGGGCAGGGCTCCAGGCAATCACTGGGCTGGGCTGGTTTCCAAGGCAAGGATGACATTGCCTCAAGTACCCACTATGGGCCTGGCTCTTAGTGGCTGCCTGGGGCTCTCCCCTGGTGCACCTGAGACCTTGCTGAGGGGCACCTCTGGGAACGAATTACGGGGCCCCAAATCCAGCTGCTGGTAGCGCCAGGCTGGACAGTCACCCTGACTTGGGGTGGATCCTGGGATGCAGCCTTGGTGGCCCACGCTGAACCTCCTGCCAGGCGCAGGAAACTATAGCTGCTGGCAGCATTGGCGCTGCAGCAAAGTCACTGGCCATGTCTGAGAAGCCAGTGCCCCTCCCACTTTCCACCCAAGACCCCCGAAGCACGGCCCCAATCTGCTTTCAGGCACCGCCCCCTGTGCCCTTTGTGCAATCGCCGCACAGGCCTTGGTCCAGTTCTGCCTTGTCAGATCATTCTGTCTCCCGCCTGTGGGTAGCTTCGCCCTGCCACACCTTAGCGGCTACCAAGGGCGGGCTCCCATGGCATCAGGCCCCGGGTACCATTCGCCTTGCAGTCCACCTGAGGATTCACAGCCTGCACCCGCACCCCACCACAGCCGGTGCCATGGCAGCGGCCACTTTGGATGTCCCACTGCTGCCATCAGTTTGAATGGTTCATATTTTGCTATTCTGGTTAGTTGAGAAGAAAATCATGGATGTATGGATATACAGTGATGGACGTGCTAGCAATTCAAGAGTTATTTTGAGGACATTTCTTTTTTTTTTTTCCCAATTTTTTAAGACAGAGTCTCATTCCATCTTCCAGGCTGCAGGGGAGGCTCCTGCAGAGTAGTCAGTTCATGGAGTAGTCGATGGGGCAGTCTGTTCACCGCATCCTTGACCTCATGGGCTCAAGCGATCTTCCTGCCTTAGCCACCAAGGAGCTGGGACTACAGGCGAGTGTAAGCACTCTCAGCTAATTTTTAAATTCTTTTGTAGAGACAGGGTCTTGCTTGGTTGTGCAAGCTGGTCTTCAACTCCTGGGCTCACGCAATCCTCCTGCCTTGGCCTCCCAAAGTGCCACTGTACCCAGGCTATTTTGAGGACATTTCACTTTTCAGAAAAGTTATAAGTGTTTTGACCCTGTATGATAGTTTAAAATGATAGAATCATAGAAACAAAAACAAAAAGCCTCAGAAGTTTTTTTTAAACCAAACAAAAATTATTGGAACCAGCTTTTACATCAAGCAGTGAATGAGTAACACAGAAAATTGGTTTTTCTTTTCTTAACGATTTCTTGTAATGGGGATTTTACACCTTATTATTCTCAACCTCCCTCCAGGTCATTTTTGGTTGTTACAACTGGAGGAATGATACTGGCATCCAGTGGGCAGAGGTCAGGGATGTTACCAGACATCCTATAATGTACAGGAAAACTCTCCCTGCCCCACAACGAAATATTATCTAGTCCAAGTAATGCTGAGATTGAGAAACTCTTCTGTAAATTGTGGATTTTTATCTTGATGGGAGTTTTTCCAAGTAGCTACATTGATGTTTACAATGCTTTATAAATAAAGGGAGATTTTGGTTTGTTTGTTTGAATTACTAATAAGAGATAAAAGAGGCTTTAGACACTGATTTGGGGATTTATGGATGCAATAAACACAAGCAGTCTTCGAAAAATATTCTTGGAGACAGTATGGTAATCTTGTGATACAGGGAAATGGAAAACATTTTATTAGAGAAGGACATGAGAAACTTGTATTATTTTTTACTCTTTCATGGACATGAAATGAAACTTCTACTTTGTAGGTAATGGTGTTGTACAGAATTATTTCTTTATTTGTGAATTAAGTCATTTAATAAAAGTAATCACAGTATCTCAGATCAGTTATCTTGGGAGAATATTCAAGAGCCTGAAGCTCTGGATTCGCTTCCCATTTGTGACTATAGTTAATTTATTTAATGTCCAAGCCTCAGTTAACACATCTGAAAAGTAGAGTTATTACAAACTTGTCAGAATGGCATTAGTTAATTTGTATTTGATAATTTGTATTGACACTGAACTGTTCAGATGTTAAAAGAAATGATGTCTGGTCTTTGATTGCTGAACCTCAGTGTAAGGAGTAGGTATTTCTTCATTCTTATCACAAAGGAAGCTCTTGAACCTCCGTTTTTAAGCATTGTCTGCTCAGTCACAATAATTTGCAGTAGAAGGATGTATATATAACCATGCATGTGTAACACACAAGCATACCTAGTGACTTGATGGTATGGAAGGCAGAGACTTACAAAATGTGTTTCCATTGCTTTCCAGAGGTTGAGGTTGAGGTTTTTGGAATCTGGCATACTGATAGTACCCCATTATGGGACCATAATCATGTGGATTTAATACATGAGATAGAGCATATAACATATAAACATATTTAATGATATTCTTTGTGCTACAACAGAAACAGACACTGGAGATTAAATGTAAATGATCATATTCCCACTCTTAAAAATTTGCAGTTGATTTTACTTTTTAAACGATTATGTTGTCTGCCATACCACCCACAATCCATTAACTAACTGAATGTGTGTTGTTGAAAAAGTTCTGTTTTCTGTAAAGGAAGAGAGTTAGAAAAAAAAATGCAGATTGGAGTCACAAATCATTGCAAGTCATTTCACTTTTGTTTCCATGTTTAAGAAGAAGTTGTCTCTTTGGTGGAGACAGACAAGAGATCTGTATTCTATCATCAACAAAAATTGTCTTAGGGTATTTTTTTTTCTTTTTTTAATTAAGGGACCAGCCAGGGCTATGCAGCTAATATAGAGAAGAATTCAGTCAAGAAATTGGATCTTATTTGGCAGTGGAAACTGCAAAGTTTGATGATCTTTTAGAGATTGTAGTGTATGAAATAAATTGTTTCACTTATAAATGGAAGCAAAGCAATAAACTTCATGTTATTCTATATACAACTTTAATCATTGTTTCTTTTCCTTCTTCTTCTTCTTTTTTTTTTTTTTTTTTGAGACAGAGTCTCACACTGTCACCCAGGCTGTAGTGCAGTGGCGCGATCTCGGCTCACTGCAGTCTCCGCCTCCTGGGATCAAGCAGTTCTCCTGCCTCAGCCTCCCGAGTAGCTGGGACTACAGGCATGTGCCACCACTCCCAGCTAATTTTTTGTGTTTTTAGTAGAGACGGGGTTTCAACCTGTTGGCCAGGATGGTCTTGATCTCCTGACCTCATGATCTGCTCACCTAGGCGTCCCAAAGTGCTGGGATTACAGGCATGAGCCACCGCACCCAGCCTGTTTCTTTCATTTTTTTAAAAGGTATTTTGTTAGGATGGTAGTTTGAATTGGTAATATATATATATGTAACTCAGAGATCAAAACTGTATAGAAAGATATACATGATAATACCTGGGAAGACTGAGTTTTGGTGAGTGAGGGTTGTTACTGTGGTCAGATTCTAGATACAATCTTGTGCCATGTAACCATGTTTTGGTCAACATCAGACTGCATGTACAAATGTGTCCCATAAGATTATAATGGAGCTGAAAAATTCCTATGGCTTAGTGACATTGTAGCCATCATAATGTCATAACCATTATCATATGGTAACATAGTGCATTACTCTTGTGGTGATGCTGGTGTAAACAAACCTGCTGTGCTATTAGTCATATAAAAGTGTAGCACATTAAATTTGTATAGTATATCATACTTGATAAGGGTAATAACTGTGTTATAGGCTTATGCATTACTTACACTATACTTTTTAATCATTTTAATGAGCACTCTGCTTATGAAAAAATTAACTATAAAACAGCCTCAGGCAGGTCCTCCAGGGGATATTCCAGAAAGAAGGCTAAACGTAGGAGATGACAGCTTCATGTGTATTATTGCCCCTGAATACCTTCCCAGGAAACAATATATAGAGATGGAAGACAGTAATATTGATGATCCTGATCTACAGGCCTAGTATATGCGTTTGTGTCTTCGTTTTTAGCAAAAAAGTTTAAAAAGTAAAATAAATTAATAAAATTTAAAATTAGGAAAAAACCTATAGAATAAGGATATAAAGAAGAAAATGTTTTTATACAGCTGTATGGCATGTTTGTTTTAACCTAAGTGTTATTGTAAGAGGCAAAAAATAAAAATTAAAAAGTTTATAAAGTAAGTTACAGTAAGCTAAGATTAATTCTTGAAGAAAGAAGAGTTATAAACTGTTTAGTATAGTCTTATTGTCCTGTGTTTATTATAAAATCTATAGTGGTGTACAGTAATGTCCTGGACCTTCACATGCACTCTTTGCTTACTTACTGACTCACTCAGAGCAACTTCCAGTGCTGCAAGTACCACTCCTGGTAAATGTGCCCTATACAGGCATACAATTTTTTATCTCTTATACATTATTTTTACTGTACCTGCTCTATGTTAAGATATATTTAGACATACAAATACCATTGTTTTACGGTTGCCTACAGCATTGAGTGCAGTAACATGCTGTACAGGTTTGTAGCCTAAAAGCAATAAGCTATATCATGTGGCCTGGGAAGGCTATATCATCTAGGTTTGTTTAAGTACACTCTGTGATGTATGCACAATGACGAAATCACTTAAGGATGCATTTCTCAGAATAGATTCCCATTGTTAAGTGACACACGACTGTATTTTGTTCTGTAACCTTCTTGGCCAAATACACTATTTTGAGTCAAATTCCACAGACCTCTTTGTTTCCTCTTAAAGTATAATGAACCTTTTCCTTTTAACTTATAAAAAGATGAGTGTATTCAAGCTGATCGTTTAGAAACTTTGGGCAGGTTTGATTTTTTATTTTAAATTAGCTTTGTCACAAGGATATTACCACCTTATGCCTTGAAGCCCTGACGCAGCACTCATTGCACTGTTTTAATTTCCCTGATGGATTTTGTTTATTTGTTTTTTTGCTGCCTCTCTTATTTCCACATATCACTCTTTAGTTTCAATATGTAAATTCAAAACTTACCCATTTTGGTATCTAGGATAATATTTAGATAATCAGGTATTTGCTCAGGTTATGTTGCTGAGAAAGAGATACATTTGTTCTGAGATACATATATTCATTTTAACTGTACTCCTCAACTTACAGTGGAGTTCCTTCCTGTTAAAGGTATGTTGAAACTAATGTAAGTCAAAAGTGGATTTAGAACACCTAACCTACTGAACATCGTAGTTTAGCAAAAAAAAAAAAAAAAAAAAAGAAATTCACATCTTATACGTGCTCAATACTTACATTAGCCTGCAGTTGGGCAAAATTGCCTGACACAAAACCTGTTTTATACTGAAAGTATTGAATATATTATGTAATTAATTGAACCCTGTACTGAAAGTGAAAAACAGAATAGTTATATAGGTACTCAAAGTAAGGTTTCTACTGAATATGTATCACTCCCACATTATCACAAAGTTGAAAACTACAAAGTCAAATCATTAAAGTAAGGTACCATTCATTACTTATGATGTCTAATGCAGTGATAACTAATGAAAGAAAATACCAGGAAGAAAGATTTTTGACATCATATTGATAAACTTTTTTCTAATTATAGGACTTTTTGCCTTTATACCAATCTCCTTTAATAAATGGAATAGAAAACTACTCTTTTTTTGGCCATGTCATTTGTTTTTTTTGACAGCATATTAGGTTGTAGATAGTATTTGGAAATCCACATCTGCTCTTCATTCAAATATGTTTGTCCTTCTTGCAGTGTAGATAAAAATGTGCTTTGTATGTTAGCGTAAATTGTCATTTCTATTATTTTAGCAATTTTCTTTTCTGAAAGTTGACCTTTTAACTTCTTATTTTTGCAGGGAAAGCTTTTGTCAGAGGAACTTTTATTATTGTTTTTCAAAAGGCAGTAGCCTCAGGAAAATCTATTTTACTTTAGTATGAAAGTGAAAAACTGACATTTAATTGCAAAAGCTATTTAAAATATCATTAAATGTAGCTATTGCTATAAAAATGTGTTCATGTAAGAGACCAGAGGATAATGGAGCATAAAGCAGTGGTTGGGTGTCGGCAGGCAGCCAACTGTGGTAGTCAAATAGTGATCAAATTCTTGATGTCTTGCTGCTTTTTTCTGAAATTTTATTTAATAATATTATATAATGTAACATGTTCTTATTGGACCACTGCATACCTGAAATGTATTTCATTATTTTGTGAATATGAGTTTTAAGAAGACATTTTTTTATTACAATGTTTTTTTAAAACTAAAATTATAGTGTCACAAAATAGTTAACTTGGGTCAGATGCATTCCAAATAATTTGCTCTATAAGTGAATGAATTAATTGAATCTAACTTCAAATATTATACTTCTTTTGACAGAAATTATTTTGCAAAGAAAATGTAACATAAAATTCAGAAATTATTGTTCTGGTTTTGTTTGGTGATTCTAAAACAATCACTAGGAAACATACTACTTTTCCATGAGTTCTTACCAACAGTTTTACCTACAGTATTTGAATATGGTCTCCTCTTGAATTGGATGCTTGATTCGATATCTTCACATAAACAGAGTATGGAAAGTCTATACTTGTGTATAGAGGAAGCAGTGGGTCAGCTTTGACATTTTTTATGAACTAGTACATACATTTTTCTAGACAGGTGTAGAAAAATGAGAAGTCTTGGCTAGATGGAGCTATCTCTTGGGACTGGCCATCTCCAGTAGAAATTTAACTTCTAGGTAGCAATTTGATATTAAGAGCAATATCAAATTGCTTTCAAATATTAATTCATTCTTTCAAGGCTTCCAGATGAGCTTGGAAAATGATTTACAGAGATACTTAAAACAATCTGCCATGAACTTCCTTATGTATCCTCATCATTAGCAAAACATAGCTTGGCTCTATTATTACCTGCTACTCCTTTCCTACACTGTCAATGACATTTTTTCCCCTAAAGTTAATTGTTCCACCTAGTTTTTGTAGCTCATCTCAGTGATTAAAATGTTAGCTCCCTAGGTTCTCCTTACTGACCAAATATATTAGAAGTGAATTTGTGAGGGTTACTGAACAAAATTTAACGGTTTCGTTTCTTATTTTCTTCAATTCCATAAATTTTATCCTACTAGGTACCTGTATGTTGAAACCCTGTACCCTATTAGCTTTGATGACATGATAGTTTTTCCTTCTGCTAACTCTGAGTCCAGTACTCTTTTATTTCAGTGGAATTTGTGGCACCTTAATTCTGACTATCATGAGAACAGCATGGAGGTGACCACCCCCATGGTTCAATTGCCTCCTATCAGGTCCCTCCCATGACACGTGGAGGTTAAGTTCAAGATGATGACAAATAATATTTGAAATTTTTTTCAAATATTATGGCAAATATGGAAAATAATTAAACAAAAATCTGAATCCAGTCCAGCCTCCAGTTTTTTTTTTTAATTTAAAATTTGAAATCTCAATTCTTTTATCTCAATTTCTTTCTTCTGTTCTATTACCATTGCTATTCTGGTTGAGTTATTTTTTTTATTGCTGCAATTGCTTCTTGACTTGTTTCTCAGCCTTCAGTCCCTTCCTCCAGCATTTCATCTTTATTCTGTTTCATAGTATTCTTCCTGAAGGAATGATCTACTGCTAACAAGGACTCCTTGTTTGCCTCAAGACCAGATCTTCCTTCTGGCCTTTTTAGTTTGCAAAAGTTGCCCCTACCCTATGCAGCAATCTTACCATTATCGTATTTTCTGTTTTCACTGAACATTTACCTTTCATCTTGGCAATTATATCTTTTGGTAATTATGTGATCTACATGTACTATTATTCATTCATTATTTTCTCCCAGCTTTTGCTTATTTTGTCTCCTCCTCACTAATCTAAAACCATGCTCATTACTTTTTCTTGACTGCCTGTCTTAACAGCCATTTCCACAAAGTTTTTATTTTTCAGTTTTGTTGTTTAGTTTTTAATAAGTTGGCTCTACAAATCTTTTTTCTGTAGCTTACTTGTCTTCTGTATCACTTAGCTTAGTTCTTGATGTTCTCTAATAGTTTATCTCTTCCACGTTTTTCCTATCTTTCTAATGACATTTGAGTATCTTGAAGTCAGAGAGATTGATACAGTTTGGTTGTGTCCCACCCAAATCTCATCTTGAATTTGTAGTTCCCATAATTCCCACGTGTCATGGGAGGGACCCTGTGGGAGGTAATTGAACCATGGGGGTGGTTACCTCCATGCTGTTCTCATGATAGTCAGTGAGTTCTCATGAGATCTGAAGGTTTTATAAGGGGCTTTTCCCCTTATGCTCTCATTCTTCTCCTTCCTACCACCATATGAAGAAGGACATATTTGCTTCCTTTTCTGCCATGATATTAAGTTTTCTGAGGCCTCCCCAGGCATGTAGAACTGTGAGTCAATTAAACCTCTTTCCTTTATAAATTACTCAGCTTTCGGTATGTCTATATTAGCAACAGGAGAATGAACTAATACAGAGATTAAATTATATTTTTATAGGCCTCAAATAATAGTTATTTCATCAATTTTGCCCATTAATTAAAAATAAGACTACATGGCCAAGGTTAGAGGTGGCCCACACCTCTAATCCCAACACTTTGGGAGCCTGGGGCAGGAGAATCACTTAAGGCTACAAGTTTGAAACCAGCCTGGGAAGCTTTCGGAGACCTGGCCTCTACAAAAATTTAAAAATTAGCTGTAGCCCCAGCTACTCAGGAGGTTGAGTCAGGAGGATGGCTAGCTAGATCCCAGAGGTTGAGGCCTATGGTGAGCCATGATCATGCCACTGCTTTTGTAGTCTGGGTGACAGAGTGAGTCTCTGTCTTTACAAATAAATAAAAATAAAAATAAGACACAGAAGCTAAATATTTAAATCTCTTTAGTTTTCACAGGGAGTCAATAATGAAACCAGTATCTGAGTAGAAACAGTTATTTTAAAATGATAATATCACAGTTTTATCACATCAACTTTTATAGTTATAAAAATTTTACATCAGCAGAGGGCAGTCAAACCATAGTTCTTTCAACTATCATATGGGAAATTAATGTTTTCTGTTTCTGCTTAGGACACTAGCTGCACTTTATAGTCAGTTTGTAGATACATTTCCAAGCTCTTCAGTTGTTAGGCTTACAGAATTGTATTACTGTTTAGCCATAGAAGGTAAATAGGTTTTTGTTTCATAAATGTAAAAAAATGAAACTAGGTTTTTTTTTAGAACATGAAATGCTTTATTATTTGGTGTTTTTGAGGATGGCCACTTTATATAGAAATTTGTTTTTTTTCTGCCTCAGAAGCAATATTTCTATTAAATTGCCTGTTATTAATTAGCTATTTTTTTATTCAAAAATATTAACTTTTATGGAATCTTTATTTTCCCCAATGAACTTGAGAAAAGAGTTTTTATTACAGGCTGCAGTATAACATTAACGAAAATGTAGTTTGGCAAGTTTTACTGAGTTTTTCTTCCTGAACCTTTTCTTTGGCTGGCTGCAAACAACTAGTGGTATGTGTTTATAGATGTGCTCATTTTCACCTCCTCCTCCTGGAGGTTAAGCTAGTACTCATTAAGAGAGAAATACAGTTTATACTAAACAGTGTTTAACATATACTGATGGCATTACTGTGTTTCCTGTTTTGTGTTCACAATGAGAAGATTCTGAAAAACTGCCTTTGTGTAAATACTTTACTGACATTCCAGACAAGTATAATCTTGTCTGCTGGTAGGCAGGAAAGAGTGATGTCCTGGAATGTTGTTGAGAAGGAAATCTCTTTGTGTTCCACAAATGATACCCCTAAACCCTTTAAGAATATAATTTTTTAAATGACAGCTCTGAATTTGCTTTTCCTTCCGTTTATTAACTTTTCATGCATTTAAGTTCAGAAATGCATTTAGTTCGGAAAAAACCATTGTGTCTGATAAAGAAATATCTCCCTTATAGTTTGTGGGAAATTATTGGTAGAAGTATCTCAGGGTAAACATAAAAACAGATGTAATAATTATTGCTTTTTGTTTTCTTAGTTTAAACTTTTTCTGATACTTGAATCAGACTTCTGATAATTCTCTGCCAGCTTAAAAATGTAGCATCTCCCACTACCATCCAAAATGTCTACCCAAGAAGTAATTTGGGAGATTTTTGTTAGAACAAAAATATTTTTTTAAAGTTAGATTTGGAGTTTTAAAATTGTATCATTTGATGTAAGTCAATATGAAAAGCTGTTGTGTAGTGTTAACATTAAGTATTCTAGTGAATGGATTTTTATATACTTAATTATGATAGCTAAGAGTTCACTTAAAATTTAACTGATGTTTCTGTTTAGTGACTGAAAATAAAATGGTTATGGTTAAACCCTTAAATAGTTGACAAAACAGACATCATAGACTAGACCTGTGTGTGATTTCTGGGTCAGTGGTTCTTTTTCTTCTGCTTCTTTATTACTTCCATCATTACCATACCTAATTACAGTGATTTTCTACTTCAGCTCTCAGTCTAAAACCTAGCAAAATGGAGAATTATCTGTAAGAATCTCCAAATACAAGGTTTAAAATGCTTGTTGATAACATTCAAACTTTAGATAAGTATTATATGCTTTTTTTGATCTAGTTGTTCTTATATTATTAACATATGACATATGTCGTACCCTTTGTTAAAATACTTGCTTAAAAATATGTGGGATATTATCTTTCCTACAGACCGCTTTTCATAAATCTGCTGTGTTGAATTCTGAAATATGGAGACTACTATAGCTACTGCATCTTCAATTAAAAATCTTAACAGGAATACTTTAAGACAGAACTAAGTAATTCAAGACAAGTATTAACTAATATGGTGGTTTCATAGTACTTCTGTGCCATCCTTCCGGTCACATGGTAAAAAAATCTCACTATCACATTAGTTGGGTTCTCATTCAGGTCAACCAGAATTAGGAGATAAGGCTCGTTCCTGCCATTTAAGGGCCTAACTCATAAATTGCAGCTATCATTTGCATCTTATGGGCTAATCTTAGCTACAAGGTAATATTCAGCTGCAAAAGAGGCTGTAAAATATATTTTTTATTTTGAGTGGCTGGGATTTAAATTTGGCTTTATGGGGTTTCATTACTAAAGAGAGAAACTATTTGTTTTTCTCTTAGCCATTATCTATTAGCACCATCAGCTGCCCTTGCCCACTTTGTCCTCTTTTAAACACTCTT